GTTTTGGTGTATACCCGAGCACTATCAATAGATGCTCCAAGTGGTACAGGGGACAAGGAGCTGAATGCAGTCATTCTGGATGAGAAGGGCGTGTTTCTGTGGCGACCACGAACAATCTAAGGATTGTGTGCGATAGAATTTGCAGGTAGTTGACGCGCTGGTTTCACTGGATGTCACGAGAGATAGGAATCAGGGGGGCTCTTTTGGACTTATCAGAGCCCATTGCTATCCTGAGTTTATTTTCACTTTGAAAATCGTTGCTGGGCCTTCCATCAAGTAGGAGCTCCCGTTTACGAGGCAAGGGTGGTTCAGTACTAGTGCAGCATTGATGCAGAACCGATTTTTTCGACTTTGTCGGCTTAAACGGTGGTAGAACAGCATTTCAGATCTGAGCTCGATAGGGTACGCTGTCGGATCCGTTCTAGAAGCTGAGGCTTGCATAAAACACATTATGTCTAGGGATTCGTTGAAGAAACCGCTCTAAAATGAGCTTGACGAGTCCTACTCGCCACATTGCGTGCCACAGTCGATGGTTCCTCGATGTTTCTGAGGACCCGTATAAACACAAACCAAGGAATTTCAAAAATTGCATGGATGTCGACGATTCAGAATGGGACTGTGCACGTCACTGCATTTTTGTTTTCAAAGAATTGCACCTTGCTCATCCTAGGCAACTCGAAGTCGCTGTCTCCGTAATTTTGGCGCACCCTGTATAAGTCGATAGCTCATGGTAGGGCCCCAGCCGGTGAATTGAAAGCGGGTTCCTTTTTTTAAATGGTTTTTATAAATAGTTTTTTTAGTGAGAATGAGTTCTCGTGAATCATTAGAGCGTTCCGCTCGATTTCCGTGCCGCGTTCGTCTGAAAGTCGAACTCCGGCATGCATGGCGAGCTGTATGTAGATCATGGTCCCCTTCCCCCTTTTCGGAGTTAAGTCAAAATCTCTTAATTTTCCCTAAAATTTGGCCTATGGTGGTAAATCACATCACAGGTATGACAATCGTTTTTGACCTCGACGCTATTTAGCGCCAGTTTGGCACTACGAATTTATTCCGCCAGTTTTCGATAGAAAACCCGCTTTTAGGGACCACTGGTGGTTCGGGTTGTGGACTTAGCTTTAATTTTGACGCTAAAGCAATAAAGCCGAAAATAGACTGCTGACACAGAAAACTGAAAACACTTCACCTTCATAAGCGTGTTTGACAGCGCAATGGAAAGATGGGAAAAAGGATCGTCGGCGCCATAACGATGCTGAAAGAAGACCAATCTCATGACAACCGCGAAAGAAAAAGACGTCATGCCGAGAACGATTGCGAGCGAACACCCCGCAAAGTTGAGCTGCTGTCGGACGATGACTACACAGAGAGCCTTATTGAAAAAAATGAGGAGGAGGAGGAGAAGGAGGCGGTGATCACGACAGAGATGACGAACGTCATCGAGCCGAATAAGAAAATCGGCATCGAGAAGAGGAATGCGTAGACGACAAGCGGGAGCGCCAAGAGTATGTCGAAGACTTGGAGAACGAGCTGGGTAAAATATACGAGAGGTGCACTCTACTGCTTCAAAGAAAAATCGGAGGCGAGCCAGAACATGTTCTACCACATAAAATGCTCCTTGTGTGGAACTTGCGTCCGGAGAAAAGAGAGAGATGATCCTTGTTGTCGTGGTAAAAAAAAACTTCCTCCTGACTCCTTGAGTCCAGGGGCTTTTTTTTTTTTTTTTTTTTTTTTTTTTTTTTTTTTTTTTTTTTTTTTTTTTTTTTTTTTTTTTTTTTTTTTTTTTTTTTTTTTTTTTTTTTTTTTTTTTTTTTTTTTTTTTTTTTTTTTTTTTTTTTTTTTTTTTTTTCGTTCGAGAGGGATGCAAATTTTGCAGGCCGTGTGGCGAGGCTGGCGGTTTCAAATAGGGCCATGTCCACCTTTCCACGCACGTAATCCTCCCCAATGTGAATCACTAGGTTTGTTGCAGTCCAGGCCACTTTACTACCGTCCCCTGATGTTAGTCTTGTTAACCAAGCACAAACAATTCTGATGGACGATCGAGGTAGTGAATCCGCTACACCCCGGCCGGTGTGTGTTGTTCGTATTATGCGCGGTCACCTTCTACTTTGATCGCCCTGATTTTCTTCGTGGCACGTATGAGTATATTATACAGGGGGGGGCAAAAAAAAGAGTCACTTTGCCTATGGCGCATATCATCAAACTTTTCGTCGCAAAGGATGCCGCTGTTATTGGGAGTTATACGGCAAATTATTCCTTAGATGTCCCCCCATAAGCAGAATCAGGCCCACCTTCGCTGCGTTCACCGTCTCCAGAATATGACGTCATCTGTCATCACCGTCGAGCTTAAGGAGGCCTACAATAATCGCTCCATTCTGAAGCTGCTACATAAATTCTTCAATCGGATAACTGGTGAATGACTTCTTAGAGACACTAGCTCTGACTATGCAAAATGGCTTTTGACCAGCGTTTCAGAGACGTCGCAATCATCTATGGTTTCTCGACGACCCCGTTGAGCTCGTACCGCGAACCATGTTTCCGTGGGAAAATCTTCTGGTGTCGTCGGTTTAGAAGGCCACTATGCAATGTTTTTGATAGAATAGAATGTGCTCTTCAATATGCAATTGAGCTCATTCGGTTTGGTTTTGGCAAAGTGTAATTAATTCTGTTTTGAATGTGAGTAGGAGTGACTCTTTTTTTTTTGCCCCCCTGTATATAATGAGTGCCGAGTGTA